ATTTTCGCCACACCAGACTGAAAAGCCTCATCCTGGCAGCTAAGCCACAGGCTCTGGCTGCTCCATCCTCGGATTCTCGACCAGCACAAAACTGACATTCAATAATACTCCTCAAATTAAATGTGAACCGGTCTGTCTGCCTTCCCACTACCCCTCTTTTCCTATCTGTGGGGACGGGACGATAAGGCGACGCCTCCGGACTATGGCCAAAGGCTCTGTCCACTGTAGGCGGCTGTGCTGACGTTCTTGCCTGGTACCGCTAGGAACCGACTCTGGGACGGAGGTACAGGCTCCAGCTAAAAGGAACAGACCCCCTGGGCTCTAGCTGCCGCCTCTGCCTGGCTGACCCTCCTGGCTGGAGAGGGAAGTGTGCCAAGGTCAAAGCCCAGTCCTGGAAACACCACCCAAGCCGACAAGCTCTGGCTGCCCGACTGCATCCCCTGGGAACAGCGGTTCCCAGGATGGGTCTGGGCTTTGTGTCTGGGGGCTCTCTGGCTCGCAGTGCAAGCACACTGTTTGTTTCTCTTCAACATTTGTATTCTTCCCTCACTCTGTTCTTCAAAGTCAGCAGCAAATGTGGAAGTAAAGAGTCCTCTGAGTTGGTCATTCTCAGGCTGTTCATAGGAGTGTAAACTGTCAGGACTTCTCGGGGAGGGACTTGACAAAAGGCATCAAGAAATCTCGACTTTTTCCCAGATCCTTGAGCCACGAAGTCAGTGTGTTTACTAAGTCAGCTTATAATAATTTATGGTGGCTTCTCACAGGCACCCTCCCCAGGCAAGCATTGTCTTGTGTCCTCCTAGAGATACTCTGCAATACACACGTTCCCTCATTCCACCCCTCCCTTCTTTCCTTCTTTTTTCCTTATTTAAAACAGAAAATTGTTTTCCATTGTTTTTTAATTTACAAATACATCCTGAAAACAATTCCAGATCACCTTGAAGCCACCGGGCACTGATCATATCAATCAATAAAGCAAGAGAATGGTCCATTTTTGTTGGGTGATATCAGTAAAACTCCTTTGTTTTTACTGTTTAATGGTACATATAAGGCCAAAACCTATATACTTCCTTCTTTTGTGCTTTATGGTGCTGAGTGAAATGTAAGTTCTACAAAGTGGTGACTTGGCTGGCATGTGTGCCACTATATCTGAGAGGCCTACCACGTAGGTGAAGCTCAATGAATATTTGATGAATGAGTGATATTCTAGATTCGAGGGTAGAAAGGGCCACAGGGTGTGCAGCCCTGCATCATAATGGTGGCCAAGATCTGGCTCATTCTCCATGCAGGAGGGTGACTCTTGTGGAGTCCCTTCCTCTCTCCCAGCTTCCAGGTTGAGATATAATCTCTAAGTCTCTTTAGTCCTGACATGCCATTCATTCATTCATTCATTCATTCATTCATTCATTCATTCATCCATTCATTCACTGTTTTCTGAGCACCTTCTACATGCCCTGCAGGCACTGTGCCAGGTATGGAGTATACATTGAAGCCTAAAAAGACATTTATAATGAAAAGAGAAAAAGGCACTGACCAGGGAAATGAATCTACCGTCACAGATTGTGGTAAGTGCCGGGAAGAAGAGAACAGTGTTCTCTGTGTGTGGAAGGTTCAGTTAAAGATCATATGGTCAGGGGAGGCCTCCTTGGGGGGGTGACCCTGGGCTGAAATCTATAATAAAGTTGGATGGAGGGTGATCCAGGCAGAGCTAACGACAATCTGGCCTGCGGTGATCCAAGATCTATCTTAGCTCGAGCCCTAATGGGTGGTAAGAGTGATCCCCCTTCCCTCCTCCTCGCCCTCGGGTGTTGGTGCCTTCCTGGGGTCTGGATGCTTGTGAGGCATTTGACTGACCCTGACTGCCCCTTCAAAAGAGAGGAGCCTTCTACTCAGGTTCTCGGACTCTCCCGCGTGGCCCAGGGTTAGAGGCTGTGGCTCCGAAAGGTGCTTGCTCTGGTGGAGGTTTCCCCAAAGGAAGCCACCTTCTCCCTTAGTTTTTCGTTCTCCCCCAGCTTTGTAAACTGAAGAGGCTCCGGACTCTGCCAAAAGCTACCCAGTCTGTTCCAAGTCTGCAGCTCTGAGTCCTCAGTGCACAGCAGATTCCATTACAGCTCCAAATTGTTTTCCAAATATACCACAAAGGTCATTTCCTGTTTTTTCTTTTTAAAAATTAAATATTTGCAGAGACCATACAAAAAGAAAGCGGACGTTTTGTGGAGGACGCAGAGCGCAGAGTGGGACTTGGTCCCGTGGGAGAGGCCTCCTGAGGGTGGGGCAAATGCTCTCCAAAGTTCTCCGAGGGAAGGGCTGTGCAAAGCTGACGGAAACACCAGGGCCCACGGAGCTGGCATTCCTCAGACTCAAAGGGAAGCGGCCTCTCTCTGTGAAGGGCAGCCAGAACCAGAGGGGCACTGAGGCGAACAGAAAAGGGCCCCAAACGAAGCACATTCCGAGAACCTGGCAAAGGGCAGGGCATGCAGCTAATGCCTTAGGGGCACATCCAGTGTGAAATCACCAGAGGAGCCGTCCTGCCAGGGCAGTGCCTACTGCCCCTTCCAAGCGCAGCCCCTTGGTGAGGTTTCCTTTGGAGGCAGGCAGGCAGGGCCTTGACCTCCGGAGGGCCAGCCCAACAGCCCCAGGGCAGGCAGTGGAGAGACAGGCGGTGGGAGCCCACTCCGTGAGAGGAGGGCAGGGTGCTGGAAGGTCCCCCACTCTGTCCTCCAGGGGCTTCGGGACACCACATCCTCTGGGCCTCCACACAAGTGCCTCCTCCATTAGGGACCTTTGTGTTAGAGGCCCTGGGACCAGGCCTGGGTCCTCTGCTCCGTTTATTTACTCCCTGGGGTTCTTAACTTTTCCCTAAATAGCATGTGTTGACATCCCCAAATAGCCCCCAGCCTGTTTTAAGAGCTCAAGATTCCTGAATTTAACTGCCTAGTTAGCATGTTCTCCGTGTCCTCCACTATCTCACCAGCATCTCAAACTTCACATGGCAAGTCACAGCCTGCTCCGCCCAGCTTCCCCAGCTCTGTGAGGGCACATCTGTCCACACTGCTCATGCTGGAAATCTGGAGCCATCCTGGATTCCTCCTCCTCCTCCACTGTGTACAGCCTGTCACCGGGTCCTGTCTCTTCCACCCCACACAGAGCCTGAGTCTGCCCACCTCTCCACTCCGCGTGCACCTCCTGGTCTCCACCGTCTCCCACCAGCACCCTCGTCGAGTCCCTGTTTCCCACTTGGTCTTCACCCAAGGTCTACTCTCTCCACAAGCAGCCAGGGTGCTGTCCTCAGGTCAGGCACCAGGTCCTGCAATTCCCCTGCTTCATTCAACCTTTGATGCTCTTTCATGCCACATCTGGCAAAAGCCAACCTCTACACCAGCCCCTGAAACTGCATGGATCTGGCCCTGCCTTCCTCTGTGACCTTTTGTCTCATCTCCACTCTCTTCTGGCCCATTTTGCTCTGACCACACTGGCCTCCGTCTTAATTCCTCAAACCAGCTGACTCTTTTTGACCTCAGGTTCTCCATGAGACTGTTCTCTCTGCCTGGAACATTCTCTGTCACTCTGCTCTTTTCAGAGCCTCCTAAGTGGATTCCGGGCCCCGACGTTACAAACTTTCCTGCTCTAGGACCCAGACACGGGGCCCTGCAGGGAGTGAAGGCTCCTGAGTTCCTCTGCCCACCACTAGTGCATGTCGAGGCCTGGCTGGCCTCCTGCGTGGTGCAGTGGACACAGCAAGGACTGTGGGGTCACCTCAGCTTCTGACCCCACAGCTGAGTGACACCCGACTGCATGTTCCTCTTCTATAACATGGGGGTGTTACAACTGCCCTGAAAGGTGGTTGGCATTGGCCAGAGCCAGCGTGTATGGAGCCCTTACTGCATGCCAGACTGTGCTAAGCATCTTGGAGGCATTATCCCATTTAATTTTGCAGCGACTCTAAGAAGAGGAAGCATTATTCATGTTCTACAGAAGAGGAAGCTGATGTTAAGTAGCTTGCCCAAGGTCACACATCCACGGAGTGTGGACAGGGTGGAGCCTGTACTATAGGCTTGGAGGCATGGAGATGAGTTAATCATACTTGCTACACAGTAAGGGTCTTTTAAAAGTGTCTACTCTCTTTTCTCCCCTTCGATCTCCTCTATCCCCAACCTCATAATAAGGCATTTCTGAAGGAAGAGCAAGAAAGCAATGAAAATCCCAGGAAAACATTCAATAATGCTGATGGAAACATACACCCACGTGTATTTTACCCTGGCTTAAGCAAAATTCTGTTCAGAATGTTCAGCCAGAGGCAAAAACCTTTAGAACCTTTTTAGTGACGTTGGGTTGATGACTCTTTGAATTCTGCCACCATTCTAATTTCTGTTATCTGACTTCACAGCAATGGTAAAGTTATTTTCAGGTACAAACTGTACAACTCTTACCATCCTGGCAGCTACATTTCACCCTGGGCAGGCCTGGGGGTTGGAACAGTGATACTAACTCTTCAATCCCTGAAAGTCTGTGCTTCTCTGGAAAGAGGCAGAAGGGTCCAGCTGAATTACTGCTTGGAGACCATGCTGGGTCTCCCTGGTCTCCCGCTGTTTACATATCAAACTTGGTTCCCAATCACTGGCAGTTCCCATCCCAGTGTGGAGGGAGGGCAGGACGGGAAAGTGAGGTCATTTCCAAGCAGGCCAGCCAGAGTCCGGGACTGGACTGACCCCAGCTCTGCTCATGCCAGGCTGGCCCCTCTGGCGAGGTTCTTCCCTCAGGCCTCGGGGGTTTGAGTGTGGAATGCAGGGGGAAACGGGCATCTCTATGGTTGCTCTGAAGCATGTCTCAAATTCTCTGACATTCCTCCTATCAAGAGGTGACTCTGAATGAGCTGGCCATGGTGACTGCTTCTAAGAGAATGCAACAGAAGTGACGTCATGTGACTTCCAAGATGAGGTTAGAAATGGTGACACAGCTTCCATCTGGCTCTCTCTTGGGACACTTCTCGTTGGAGCTCTGAGCTGCATCTAGGAAATCTGAGGCTGCCATGCTGTGAGGAAGCCCAAACCAACCCCACAAGGGGAACACATGGAGAGTCCTGAGAGCACAGAGAGAGCCGAGGCTAGCAGCCCCCAGCTGGGCTGGCCCCTGGCTGCTCCAGCACCAGCCACCGTCTAACTGCGACTGCATGAGAGCCAAGCCAGGATTGTCCAGCCAAGCTGTTGCCAAATTCCTGCCCACAGAAACCATGAGAGACGATAAATGACTGCTGTTGTTTTAGACCACCAGGCACTGGAAGTGACGTGCTCCGTGGGAATGGAGAACAGAGTGAGCTCTAACGGTACGTCCAGGGCTGGGTGGCCTCTCGTTTCTCCAGAGCGCCATAGAAAGCATGCCCCACACCTACTGTGGAGGATGAAAGATCTTATATCTCCATAAGGCTAATGAATTCCTCCATTCATTCAGGCAACACAATTTAACTGATCACTCAGTGTGTACTGGGCTTGGGACTAGATGCCGTGGATACGAAAATGGCAAAGCACCAATGTGCCCTTGAGGGTAAGTTCCTGGTGTAGTTAGGGAGCCCACACTAACACACTGTATACAAGATTCCCAGCCCCTGGGTTCGGTATTCCAGTCCTCCACCCGTCACCTCCGGCAATGAGTCCTCCTGGGGCTGCCAGCCCCAGCCCAAGTATCCTGTGTAACTCCTATGGCCAAGGGCAGAGGTCCCTCAGCCTGAACCCCTTCTTCTCTGACCCAGAAGAGATAAGACCGCCTTGTTCTGCCACTTGCAGCACTTTGACTTCTCCTTCCTAATCATCACTGCATTGTAACTCACTCAATAGTCAGCAAATGCATACTGAAGTGTCCCATGAGCCAGGCATGACCCAGGTACTGAGGCATTTGTTCACATCGGCCGGGCCCGGCTGGTCCCAAGAAGAGCAGGTACCCTGGCTCTCCTTATTTGTCCCTGTATCCCCAGCACAGTTCCTGACACAGAAGATGCAGAATAAATAAATTCATATGAATGAATTAATGAACAAATAAACAGACAAAATAAGAACTTAAGAACATCCACCCTCTCAAGCCAGTGATTAAAATAACTATCTGAGTCCTGGCTCCTGACAAAAAAAATAACAATGATAATTAACAAAATAAAAATGGCTGCCATTTAGGGGTTGTATAGACTGTGCATCAGACATGGTAACAAGTGTTTTCCATATATCATCTTAGTTATGCTTCAAGTAGCCCAGTGTCATTAAATCCCTTTTACACGTAACTAGGACATACTGGACCCTGGATTCACATCCAAGACTGGCTGGCTCCTAGATTCAAGGCCTCAAAGGTGGCACCTCTCTTTGGCTCAGGGAAGCAGAGGATGTGGAACCCCTAGAAAAAGGTGAGCATAAAGGGGCTAAAGTGGCAGGAGGGGACTGACTGGGAGAAGCAGGGAGGTTTCTCCTTTGTTCTCATTCACATCTGTCTCCTCCTAGTCATCTGAGCTGCTAGCATTTACTCTAGCACTGAGACTCCCAGCATGTTCCTTCATTACTTCAGTCATTCATTCAGTCCTTACAAGTACGACTCTTCCCAGCAATGACACTGACGGTGTTTTTAGAGGCACTGCATTATTGAACCCTCCCAACAGAGAGCCCATGGCTCAGAGAAGTGGCATGAGTCACCCAAGGTTCTCCTAGTGACTGAATCAGGACTTGAATCTGCATTTCCTCCTTCCTGATTCAGTGCACAGTCTTTAGGATGGCACATTCCGGTGATGGCTCTGCCCTGATGTGGATGATACAGCAGCTGTCTCATCCCCATCAGAGAACTGTTCTGTTATCAAACTCCCTGCCTCTGGCTTTTCTCATCTCAAATGGCAATCCCCACCTGGTTCAAAGAAGGTCACATCCTATATAATAAAAGCCTAATATGCAAATTTCCCCCTTGGGCAGTCATTTGACCGGGAGTTCGACCACTTCCCATGACGTGCGCTGACCACCAGGAGGTGGCGTGGAACATGGCAGGCATCGGTGACATGCTGCGACCTCTCGCTGGCTACCTGGGGATGGGGGGCAGGGGGGGCGGGGATGGAGGTGCAGTGAAAATGCTGGGTGTCCGCCCGAGCTCACTCACTCCCCCTGCTACCCTCTCCGGGGATGCCAGGGCTTGAGTGCCGGGGAAGCCCCCGCACTCAGGTGCCGGATGCCTGCGAGGAGCCCATCCCACACTGGCACGGTGTCTTCCAGGTGAGCTGGGCTGCAGCCGCCAGGACTGCAGGGGCCAGTTGGGCTCCTTGTGGGTTTGTGCAGGAGCTGGTCTGCAAAGCTGGCCGGGAGAGAGCCCGCTGCCCGCCCAGCTTCCTTGCTACGCCACTGGGCAGCCCAGAGGCCAGTGCTGCACCCTGGCCTGCAGTGTCCAGCTGCACTCACCGCATCTCCGCCATGACTTGGGTGCCATGACTCAGGCGGAGGAGGGCGTGTGGGGGCCCACGGCCCCAGGTGCTGCCCAGGGCCCAGGGGTTAGCCAGGACCTGCCTTTCCACGTTAGATGCTCGCGCTTCTATCGCCGGCCAGGCCTAGGGACCACACCTGTGCACGAATTTTGTGCACCAGGTCTCTAGTAGTATAATAATGGGGAAGACGGACTTTCAGAGTGATTTACTCAGCACCTACCACAGTGCTTGCTGCACAGACCTAATAAATGCTTCTCAAAAGAATGATCGAATGAATGAGTCAAGAGAGATATACACAGAATCTGCCAACATGAAACAGCTCGAGAGAGTGTGCTGACAGGATTCTGTGCGTGCTGCCTCCTGAATTTCAGTGACATGCTTCTATATGAGTGCCCTTCTCATCAACAACTACAGCAAGGCAGAGAGAAACCAAGCCTGCGATTCAGATAACAAAAAAGATCCCGTGCTGAACCACCACTGGTTCAGAGGCCAATGGACAAATGTGTGCCCACAAAGCCATCACCCTTTTACAGACAGGAACTGAGAAAAGCCTATTTGACAGGTGAGGCTGGTAAGTGGAATTACTCAGAAAAAAAACTTGTCTCTTGCCTACATCAACTCAAATTTGAGCTTGTAGCTTCTTAGCTAATAAAACCATTTGTAAGACATTGAGTCAAATTTCATTTGTGTAATTAATCTTCAGGGAATGACTCACTCCAGATCACCAAGATTCCCACACTGTTACTCTTTTAAGAATCAAATGTTATATGGAGAAAGTAGATTAGTGGTTGAGTAGGACTGGGAAGAATTGGGGGGCTGGGAGGGTGATAAGTAAAGGGTGTGGGGTTTCTCTTTGGGGTAATGAAAGTGTTCTTACATTGATTATGGTAATGGATACAGAACTCTGTGAATATACTAAAGGCCACTGAATAGTACACTTTAAATGGATGAATTGTATGGTATGTGAATTATATCATAATAAAGCTATAAAAACTCATTTGAATTATAATGGATAGAAATTCTTCTCATGTATTGCACTAATGCAGGGGTGGGCAAACTTTTTGACTCGAGGGCCACAATGGGTTCTTAAACTGGACCGGAGGGCCGGAACAAAAGCATGGATGGAGTGTTTGTGTGAACTAATATAAATTCAAAGTAAACATCATTACATAAAAGGGTACGGTCTTTTTTTTTTTCAGTTTTATTCATTTCAAACGGGCCGGATCTGGCCCGCGGGCCTTAGTTTGCCCACGGCTGCACTAATGCATTAAGGTACTACTTGCTAACATTTTCTTTTTCCTATTGTATTAATTGGGGTGACATTGGTTAATGAAATTATACAGGTTTCAAGTGTACAGTTCTATAATACATCATCTGTATATTGCATCGTGTGTTCACCACCCAATGTCAAGTCTCTTTCTATCACCATTTATCCTCCCTTTGGCCCTCTTCTACCACCCCCTAACCTTTTCTTTTTCTTTTTCTTTTTAATATATTTTATTGATTTTTTACAGAGAGGGATAAAGGGTTAGAAACATCGATGAGAGAGAAACATCGATAAGCTGCCTCCTGCACACCTCCTACTGGGGATGTGCCCACAACTAAGGTACATGCCCTTGACCGAAATCAAACCTGGGACCCTTCAGTCCACAGGCCGACGCTCTATCCACTGAGCCAAACCGGTTAGGGCTCCCCCTAACCTTTCCTTAATGATTTAAGATCACTGCTGAGAGCATAGTTTTTAAAATCTGGTATAACACAGCAATGCTTTCAGTATTATAACATACAGGGCTGTTTGACCTACACTAAACAGCCCCATGTTTTGTCTGCTTATTTATTTTCTTCTAACAAGGCCTTTTAATTTTAGTTTAAGCTTGGTGGTTAAATTCATGTGCTCTGGTCATGTATCACTTACTGAAGTCCGTGTGATCACTTATTGGCTGTGTGATCTCTGCAAAATTACTAGATCTCTCTATGCCTCAGTTTCTCCATATGCAAAATAACAGAACCAATCTCAATGGAGGGCTGTGAGGATTACATAAGATAATGTGCATAAAGCATTTAATTCTGTCCTTGGAAATGGTAACCCAGATTGAATTTTAGCTACTAATACTTTTCTTGATGTTGTCAGTTAGCTGCCTTGTGAGCTATGGACCCTAAGCCTGAAAATCCACACAGCATGTTCAGTATACTCAGTGTGTTTGGTGAAATAAAACAGGGGCTGGGGGTACAATTTCATGACTGGACTTTGGAACATCCATGGGGTGGCTCTGAGTTTTAGTAATACCAGTTCACCCTAAAGAGAAAAGCCTAAAGGCCTGGTTAGGTCTCACATGACCCTGGTATCTGACAGGCTGGTGCCCAAGGATACACAGTGGCCCACAACACTTTACACTCTCTCTAGACCAATGGTCCTTACAATTCAGAGGTCACAGACACACCTGAGAATCTGAGGAAAGCAATGGACATTCTGCTCAGAAAAGGGTGTGTGTGTGTGTGTGTGTGTGTGTGTGTGTGCACGTGTGCAGGCATGGGTACATACAAAGTTGTACCCAAGGTTACAAGGGGCTCCAAAATCCCAGAAGCCAACCAGAAAGCCCTGGTTAAAAAGCCCAGCTCTAGACTTCATACAACCCAAGCACTCTCAAGGTTAGGTGGCTCTAGCCTCCGACGTTCCCACAGCAGCTGAAACAGCAGGCCCTTTGCAGGCTTGCCCTCCTAAACCGGCCCTGGCCAGATAAACAGTCCTGGGACAGACTGCCACATCCTAATTACCACAAACATCTGCATCCAGGGGATTCCCAGGGGCACTGAGTCAGAACAGGACGCAAGCCTGGTGGTTTGGGAAGCTACTGTATGGCCAGGCCCAGAAGCCTTGCTGATAAGTAGCTGGGGAGTTCCAGCTCCAGGGCAGCTGCCAGCCGGAGAAGGGGACTCTTGGGAGAGGTGAGGGAGGATGGCTAGGCCATGAAGGGGAATTCAAAGGAGCTGGAAATCCCCCACACTCCCGGGACTACTAGGACTTGAACAGAGAAACAAAGGCTGGAGATTCTCCTCTAACTGCAAGGAGATGGCGCTAAAAGGGGATGTGCAGGTAGGGGTGTAGGGGAAGTGGATGAAGCATGGGTCACAAGCTGGTAAAAAACTATTAACCTACGCCAGAAATGTTTAGATGCCATAGCAATATAAACACTGACCCAAGGTGGCCATACTTCAGGCCACTCTGTTCTATGAATTGCATTTTGCTTCCAACTGGAGGGCACCTGAGCCATCTCTCTTCAACAGTCCAGCGGACAGTGCTTGTTTCTTTGGCCTGGGTTTTGCTTGCTTTTGCTCCTCTATCACAGCATTAAAATCACAATAGTGTGCCCTTGTCTTTGTGAAAATAGCTTCACAGCAAACAGCTGGTAGACAGGAAAGTTGACATCATACCCACATTTGTAAAAACTCCTGTGTATGATTCCATCCGCTTAAGCAGACAGCTGAAGAAACCATTTTCTTTTAAGCCACCAGAAGCAATTGCTCTTCCCGATGCTATACAGAAACTGTCTGTAAATGGAATCGTCACTGTGAAACTGCAGTGTGATGTCATATAACTTCTGACAAGGGCCATCCTGCCTTTTCTTCATGGGGCCAAAATTCCTGTCTAATTTCATTTGGAGCGTCCATCTTCTCTTTCTTCAAACAGAAATAAAGGTTTTCAGGCAAACACTCGTGGTGCCACAGTAGAGTGGTGTGAACAATATGACTACCCACCTGGTTTAGTTTCTGCTTCCTGCTTGCATCTCTTCAGATTTTCCAATGTTGACAAATCAGTGTGGAAATTCTAAGGAACCAGAAGAAAAAAATAATAATTAGAGCCCATCATACTCCAGGGTTATAAACGGAAAGAATCTTTTGGGAAGATAAGCGAACAATATCTAACAACATGTTAAATATGCACACCCTTTGGGTCAAACACCTGGGAATTTATACTATAGAGAGGGTCACATGAATGAAAATACATGCAGTAAAACATAATATGGAAAAGCAAAAAAAGAGGAAACAACGTAATTGTTAATAAGAAAAGTTAAATAATGGCATACCCATACAATGAGAAACTATAAAGTCATTCCAAAGAGTGAGGGAGATTTTGTTGTACTGACATGGAAAGAAGTACATGCTGTATTGTTAAAAAGTAGTATAAGATGGTATATATTATTGCTTTTTAATGAAAGTATGAACATGACTGTGCCTTAAAAAAGTACAGCATTTGTGTACATACACTTTTTTTTTGTATCTACACAGAAAAAAGCGAAGAGCAAACTATAAACGGTAGTTCTCTCTGAGACTCAAAAACTGGGGGGGAGGCGGGGGGGGGGATGAAAGACTTTCACTTTTTACATTAACAATTTCTGTTTTGACTGAAAACTTTAAAAGAGGCATGCACAACTTTCATGATCATTATACATGCAGACTATCCACAATTTAAAAATAGCAAGAGTGAAGGCAAAAGACATTTCTAGACAAAGACTGAGCAAGTTTACCATTCAGAGACTCAAGAACATTCTCCAACAGAAAGAAACTGAACACAAAATAAGTGAGATTTTAGAATCAATAGTGAGCAAAGAAATTAGTAATTGTATTGGTAAATTGAAGGAAGTACTGATTAAGTAAAATGCAGCTAATGAGGAGATAAAAACAAATTTGACAATATTTGACAGTAGTACATATTTTATAGGAATAACATTGAAGATGAAGAGAAGAATTAAAACTTTATAAGGTTCTTGATTATACAGGACAAACACAGAAATACTGTTTTACTTTAAACAAAATATTCATGATGCCTACTGAGATTTTAAAGGTAAAATAACAAAATATACAAATAGGATGAATATATTCCAAACCAGCTAGCATGCTTCTGGGTAGAAAAGACTAATT